TTTTGAGAAACAAAAAAGAAGAAAAAAGTCATGGACTAAGCACACTTCTGCCTCTTCTAAACGAATCTTATCATCTATAAATTCTGTAATATTTATTTCTCTGCTTTGATCAGTTTGAATAGTGCAATAATGTCTTGGGTAATGATAGATAATATATAATGAACAGACTGAGAGAGAAATATAGAAACAAATAGATATAAACAGACAATGATAGATAGAGACTGACACACACATAATATATATCATTAATACTATAATATAAAAATATGCTACTCAGAGTTTCATGTGTTAACACAATCATCAGTCGGATAAAATATTAGGATAAAAGGCAGAGATATTATATCTGACTGGTGATTGGGTTCCTGCTTGAAACTGAGCAATTGATTTTGATATTGCATTAATAATATTATTATATTATCTTTAAGATGTACCAACTTTGGTGTTGAAATTTTAGTGTATTTTACATTTTAAGCTTTGAGCTTATATTCTTTGGTTATTCTCAAACACATTTGTGGTTAACACTGCAAGTAGACTGAGTAGGTTTTATTTAAAGTTTCTTGGAGAAATCATGATCAGCAGTTTGAACAATGCCGGTACACTGAAATCCTCAGTCACAATGACTTGTGTCTTCATGCTAGCACAAGTATTATATATATATATATATATATATATATATATATATATATAGTGTATATTTAACCAGAAATCCTTCCTTTATGCATGTTTCATTAAAAACGACAGACAAGGTACTACGGTTAAGATTTTCATTTAATTTTTCTTGTGTTCAAACAAGAGCTTTCTTTTCTGGACAAAGGGTGTGTAAGAACTGTCCAAATGTTTTATATTTCCGAGCGCTTTCGGCTATACCTTTAGCCATTATCAAGGATGATTTAATTTTTCAGCTTAATTGAGTGTGTGTGTGTTAAGACATACACGTAATGTATCTTGCCTGTCGTTTTTAATGGAACCTGCATATATATATATATAATTTAACTGAGTCTGAAATAAGACACAGGTATAATACATTTGCCTCTGACTCAGCCTGAACGAGCCCTACCATGGGCTAAGCAATAAAATACTGAATTTAGAGACAAGTGGAAAAAAAAGAAAAGACTTAGTGACAGAGTCCATCAAACTGTCTCTTGTGTACGGCTGTGAGAGAAAATTTTTAAAATTTGCTGTTTCTATCTATTGACGTGTATTATATATTAATATCAGTCTGTTTATATCTATTCAATGGCAACTGACGGTCCTGAGATGGCCACAAGTAAATATCCAATTTATTAATTATGATAAAATGATTTTTTTTCAAATCAATGCCATCAAGAAATGAATTCTGATAAAAATGGCACAAATTGGATGAGAGGGGAAAAATGACACAACTAATTTTTTGGTAAAACACCCGTTAATTTGAAAAAAAACAAAAAAAAAACTCAGATTTTATTCAGCTTTTCAGACATTATTGGGTAATAAATAAAAAATTTTTAAAGTTTTATTTTTAAATTTTGTAGAAATATTTTCATCTCTGTCATTGAATTAAAATATGCATACATACATCAACATCATTTGAATGAAAATACAAATGGATATCTGGGTCATGAGGGATAATTTCTTTTTCTGTCTGGTAACAACCTCTGGGCAAGAGGTAAAAATATCAGCCAAAATTTGTGGCCCTTAAAGTCATTTTTATGATTCTCCTTTTATTTAAACTGAATAGATTTTCTAATAGATGTAAGATTTTAATTGAACAAACAATTTAGATTTGAAATTTGGTCATCTTGCCATTAGGGAAGTGATGTGTACCAAACTAGTAAAGGTAACAACAATGAGGATATTAGTATGAATAAATTGTGAAATGAGGAATATGACAAGTTTAAGGCTTTAATTTCAGTCAACCAGAATTCAAATTAATTTTTTAATTTCTTTTGTTAAATTTTTTTTTTAAATTAAAATTGTTTTATTATGTTTTGGTTTTCATTTTTGTTCCATTTTATTTTAGATTTACATAAAATCGAGACATAAAACCAAACCATATCATATTGTAATATAAACTTTAAAAAGGAAAAAGAAAAAAAAACTTTCAAAATTTCTACTCTCCTTTAGGATGTTGTAAAATCTTAGGATATGCAGGTAGTGTGAGGATTAGCATATTGCCTAGGAGGAGAATTCTTAATTCAAAATTGTATGTCGCCCTGGTGTAGCACATACTATGTAACGATTGATAAAATCATAGAGTTCACAATGACTCTAAAATATCAACTGTGGTCAACAATTTATTATTATTATTATTATTACTTAATATATACTGATTTGTTAGCATAATTTCATGTTGGAAAAGAAAATTGATCACTACACAAAACAAATGAATTCTGGATTAGTTTTTGTGAGTTGTGTCATTTCAAGACATGGACATTCATGTCTCTCCACAATTTCCTGTCCCTTATGGCTCCAATCAATTGCTCTTAGTCACTGATCTGACTTTAAAAGTGTATGAAGGCTTGGCAACACATAGAGACATTAAAAGTATTATAGAATTTACAATTCACTGCAATATAGCAGTGTGTACAGGATCTTAACTGAGGTTGTATTATAAAATCTTAATTTTAAATGTTTTAATTTTCAAGACAAATAGTTTGGTGGAATCCTGATGATTCTCTTCAGATTTTGTCTTTTTACTTTGAGAAGATTCCTATTTTTCATTATTATTTTGTCATTTAGGAAATTTTATTTTTTTTCTCTGCATTAAAAATAGAATTGGCCTCTAGAATATTCAAACCTTGTTCTTGAAAAACGATTTATTCAAACATTAACTCAGAGATGTTTGGAAGGCAAGAGGGTTGATTGGGCAAAACATTTTGTGATAAATACAACTAAAATGAAAATCTAATTTGAAATAATCAGGTTATATAGGAAATTATATATATATATATATATATATATATATATATATAATATGTATATATAGGGTGTCCATAAAGTTCGTGTGCAATTTAAAATTTTATAACTTTATTTGTATTTGCAATAGAAATAATCTGTATAAAATGTTATAAAGTTTAATGTACCTAGTTTTAAGTATAGCTAAAATAACTAATGTGATTTCAGGCATTACTGTAAATCAGTTGGCAAATGTTTTCCATGAACTTCAAAATCGTATTACCCTTTGTATTGCTAATGATGGAGGATATGTGGAAAGTTAAATAAAATGTCAATAAAACCTTAAAAAATATAGATTTACTTCTTTCCAATCCTTTTAACAAATTATTTCTATCGCAAATACAAATAAAGTTATAAATTTTTTAAAGTGCACCCGAACTTTATGGACACCCTGTATATATAGAAAATTATTTTCATATATATTCAAAATCTGTCGAAATGACTAAATGCTAGAATTTTTTCAAAACGCTTCTTGACAAGAACCTGTTGCCACCCCAGGGAGTTCTGAAAAGTTCTCAAATCAATCAAGGAGTCCTTTGCCCAAAATTCTGATGTCTGATCATTTAGATAGATTTGGGGAATTGGGTGGGGATGAGAACATTTTGGCATACCTTCATATGTATAATATATATATATATATATATATATATATATATATATACATATATATATTTAAAAAACACAGTAAATTTTTATGAATGTTTATGTAACTATTTGTATATATATATATATATATATTTTATTTGGCATATATATATATATATATATATATATATATATATATATATATATATATATATATATATATATATATATATATATATATATATATATATATATATACATATATATATATATATATATATATATATATATATATATATATATATATATATATATATATATATATACAAATAACATGAAAAATGAAATTAAAAGTTTAAATTAGCTTTCTGACTTAGAGTTTTGTAGATATAATATCAGTTCATCAGGTAACACTAAAATTTTACTATCAAGCCTCCTGATGAGCAGACACCTTATCTCATATCCATGAAATTCCAAATCAGGAAGATAAGTTGAAGATTTAATTTTGTTACTATTAATGCTCTGTCACTTGATATTGAGCCATTTCAGGCATGAGTGCACATGCATGTCTATTTGATACAAGTTGGATTAAAGGGATTATACATAGAACATGTTTTAATTTTTTTAAATAACTTCTCTTATTTTATATATATAATATCACTTCCTAAAAATGCCAGGATGTAGCCAACAAAATCTAGTCTAGCACACTGAAGACACTTTGTTCTTTATAATGACTGAGATAGTCAAAAGTCCTTGAGCAAAAAACATTAATTTTGGTAAGTGTGTCCACAATTTTGTTCCCAGTATGCAACATCTTAATAGAAATTTGAAAAAATGAATGAGTAGGCATCTTCTGCAGGGATGGGCTAGCTGCACTAGCAGGTGGGATTGCTTGGAAATAAGTGGCTATATATATATATATATATATATATATATATATATATATATATATATATATATATAAAAGAGAGATGTAGAATGCGGAAAAAACTAAATAAAAATTAATTAAATTGTTCTTGCCTGACATATTTAATGAAAAATGTTTAAAAGAAAGGTTGCTCCCCAAATATATATATATATATATATGAGGGGGTACAGAAAATGAAATTTGATTATTCAGCACTTGGTTAGATTGATAGTATATGCAAAAGTCCACAGTGCCTTTTTATTTTTTTTTAAATCATAGACCAAATAGGGAGTAGAAAACCAATTTCTTCTTATAAAAATATTATGGAACATATATATATATATATATATATAATTACATGAATCATTCATACAAAAAACAAATATAGTTTGTATGAATGATTCATGTAATTATAAATTAAACTGCACCTATAATTGAAATATATATATATATATATATATATATATATATATAAAGGTGTATGCAAAATTACAATTGCAAGTTAAATTTGCTTATCACAAATGGCAAAGAACAGCAGAAAATTCATTTGAGCCCATTTTTTTCTGAGTTCAAGTTACACGTCTGTTGTTTCTAGGTTGGTAACATTCAGTGCCATGTTTGTGCTGCCAGACATTGATCCAGACTTCTGATTCTTCTTGTTCATTTCTGCTTCACGTTCCTTGATGACATTGTCCAAGAAAGTTTTGGAATAATCTTTGGATGTGGTACTTGTTTCATTTGGGGGGTCATCGATAAAATCCAAAGCCACTTCCTGCTCATCAAATGGATCCACAAAAACAGCAGAATCCCCAACTTCATTCATATCAAGGGAATTCAAACTGAAAAAGTAAAAATGGTTAGATTAAATTCAGAAACAATCATTGCATGGATTGATACAAGAAATTTTAGGACTCAAAAAAATATTGGTGGTCTACCAAGATGCCTGAGGTGGTGTTGTTTCAGGACTATAAAAGCTCAGTTGTAATCTTCCTTTTTCTTTTTTCTCTTCTCAACCTATTCTTTTTCTTCTTTACAAATGATGACAACTCATCATTTACATATGAAATTTTTCTTGCTGTTACTATTTCTAACTCAATTTAAAATAGTGGCAACTTAAATTTTCATGTGTAAATCTTGAGTTGTCATTTGTAAAAGTAAAAGAAGAAAAGGAATAAATTTCAATACAGTGCTAGTTCTTGCATTTTTTAGAGAATATGTTAAATATTGTTGCAGTTGAGTCGCTTTTTTATTTGAAGTTATGAGTGCTAGGTTAGTATATACTGATGTGATGGAATAACCTGCCACCTCCATGAGTGACGACACTATAGGTAGTAACCACCTATAAGTATCTGTTAGGACAGTGGATAGGAGAGTTGAGCTGGGATCTGCGAGAACTAGCAGCTTTCTGATAGCCGCACACACACAACTGTACTGACTTGCGACGACTGTGCACATAACTATTATTTCCTTGCTTGTTGTACTGGTTTCTACAATAAACCTGTTACTATTTATCCACCATGTTTGTCCATTCAATATTCCTATTAGCACAGAATATAACATATACATAAAGATTGCTTTCTACAATGTATATTTTAAAAATTAATTTCTTTTTGTAATAATTTCAACATTGTGTATTTTTCAGGTGAGTATATCCTTGGGTAAAGTAGTAGGACAGACTGGGCCCTTTAGCCTTGGTTAGAAGCCAGTCTAGGAGAAGAAAAACACTGAATTCAAACCAGCCTATAGAGGGTTGGACTCTGGCTATCTTGCCCAAAACACACTATTTCTACTGTGGCTGAAGTACATGTGATGCTCCTAAGACTCTAATGGTTTACACGAATTGTGATTGTGATCATGACATACCTGCAAGTGATCAGGCTGCTGGAGATGGGTGTTTTTATCAAGACGCTATCTCTAAATAGATTATCAATCATCTACCTATTAGTTGAGGATTTATAACTAAACAACCATCAACTGCTGAACAGTTTCATCTATCAAATTTCATACACAAGTCTTGATTTATGTATTTCCTAATGAATCTGCTGCATGTTGAGATCATCCACTCAGGATGATGTTATCAAGAAGTCATCTATTGGACTAATCGACCATAATGAGATTTGAACTTGAATCTCATGGTCAGAACACTAACACTGTAGCCATTTGGCCATAAACATACTTTAACAACTAATAACAAAATGAAAAAAATGCTATGTCTAGAATTAATCATCCTGGGTAAGACGATAAACTACAACCAGTAGCAAGGCCTCTGATCAAGAGGTTTTAAGGAGCATGGAACCACCTCTTAATTGCTGTTGTTCCCAGGTCCATCCTGACCCAGTGTGGTAACACCTGTTAAGGTCCCACCTATGGGCAAATAATTAACCCCCAAACTGGGGTCAAAACACTATGAAAGTATAAAAATAGATTTTTATAGTAAAAATACCAGTAATATACTTTTGAAAAGAAAATATTACCAGCCATAAATCTGACTCTTGACAAAAAAAATCTCTTTACAAAAATATGCCAATGAAACCTGATCTACAAATTGATTTCTTACAAAGAATACACATTCTATTCTTATGAACCTATGCTAAAAATCTTGTCAGCATTTGAGCTGTGTCCAGAACATTCGATTTGAGAGAGACTACCTTTTCCCTCTTGGGTGGGTGTTTATATATCTTCCTGACACCCAGTTCTCCCAAATGTGTAAATCCTAAGCGCAGCTTGGTTGACCACCTGTTTACATGTTGAAGATGTGAATCCACACCTTATGTCTAAGAGGTTATCTTCCAGGAGAACCCAATGATGCACCTGACTTTTCTGATGCTCTGGTGCAAAAGCCTATCAATTTCTGTTAGAAGAAAAATTCCTTATTGACATCAGGTTCAATTCAAACCATCTCGCATTTCCTGGCATAAATCATATTCATATTTATTTTATGAGGTATTATGATAAATTGCATTATTTATATTATTCGGACTGTTATCCTCATCTTCATTGCCATATTCACAACGTTTCGACCACTATATCTCTGAGATGAGGTATTATAATTACTTGAATTATTTACATTATTCAAATTGTTATCCTCATCTTCATTGCCATATTCACAATGTTTCGGCCACTATATCTCTGAGATGAGGTATTATGATTACTTGCATTATTTACATTATTCAGACCGTTATCCTCATCTTTATTGCCATATTCACATTTTGGCTGTTGTGTGCTCCAGCCTTCTTCAGGTGACTGGAATTTCAAACTGAACCTTTTATTTCGGTTTGAAATTCCAATCACTTGAAGAAGGGTGGAGTGTACAATGGCCAAAACATTGTGAATATGGCAATGAAAATGAGGATAACAGTCCAAATAATGTAAATAATGCAAGTAAAAGAAATTGTATTATCTCCATTGTTATCATTCTTTCTAGTATTGATATGAGTTTCCTTCCTAACCTCATCCTGAGTATGATGATAAACTACATTCGGCAGCAAGGCCTCTGATCGGGAAGTTTTGAGGAGTGTGGAACAACCTCTTAATTGCTGGTGTTGCCAGGTCCACTCTGAGCCAGGGTGGTGTGCTACCACCCTGGCTCAGAGTGGACCTGGCAACACCAGCAAACAAGGTGTTAGGGTTCCAGCTGAGGGCAAATAGTTAACCCTCAAACTAAGGTGAAGACATGAAAATATAAAAATACACTAGAAAAAAATTACCAGAAATATATTTTCATGCTAATAAAAAAATTACCAGCGATACATTTTTGGGTTAGGGTGGGGTGTTGGGAATTACCAAAGCTCACAAGAAAATTAAACTTCAGCATTAAATGACCCATAAGGAGTTGATATGCCATTAAACAAATGTAACCAACCATCCTAACATTTTGTTTAAAGTAGTGTGGAAAGTCAACATCTCGATTATGTCATTATTTTCTTTAGCTACATGTGCTATCCATTTTAGTTGTTGCCACTGTTGGAAGTCTTAGTGATGCACTTTCTGTTATTTGATAAAATTATTTGTGATTTGATAGTGGCAGTCTATGAGATCTGGTGAAGGATTGATTCTTTAAGTTCTCAAGGATTCAATCACTTGAAGCCATTTTTAATCATTGATTCGATAAAATGGTTGTAAATAGCTGATAGTTTAGACATTTCTGAACAAATTGGATGCTATGCATGACATCCAGATGAGAATCTAGATCTGATGAGGCTATTTAAGAACATGACTCAAGTTTTCAGGTTAATATTTTGGTTTTGTAGCATCTTGTGGTATTGTGCAAAACTACCCCTAGTACAACCTATCCTATGTTCAATTCCCTTGTCTTCTAAGAATTGTTGAAAATAACTTATTGCAACTAAGAATCTTAGGAATTATTTGAATGCCTTTGGATTGAAAATAACAGGAAAAACTTTTACTAGAGTCCTGCATTCATCCAACTTACAGACATATGAACCGCATAAGATACCTTTTCTGAAGCTTAGTTATTTAAAATCTCAGCATCTATAAATGAACATATTGATACATTGTCTCATTATAGAATAATCTGTAGCCAGATGAGACAAAATTAGAACTTTTGGGGCAAGAAATTTATTTGGAGATATCAAGATGAGAATGTTCAATCCAAAGAACACTAGCTCTACAAGAAAACAGAGGAGGGAATATCATGATTTTAGGCATGTTTCTCTATGAAATAAAAACATAAAAACTTGTAAGAGTTAATGGCAATTTTAAGAGGATTATTGTGAAATGTTGGATGTCAACTTGGATGCCTGTTAGAAATCTGAAAGTGAAACAGGCTTGGGGCTTTATCCATTGTAAACATACAACAGGATCTTGTCCCAGGATTTCATTGACTGGACAAATCACCCCCAAAATGTTCACTTATTCTAGAAATGCATATCTCTTGCTGGGATTCCTCAAATGTCAATTTTGTGGAACACTGTGCATCAGTTTCTCTGTAAACAGTTCTTTTGGTTATGGCTGGTTCTACACAAGCCTTCAGGCCTTCACCATTATAATCAAATCATATGTGGAGGTATTTTGGTTGTTCAGATGTCATAATTAATGGAAGAGTCACAACATATTACTTTTAAGTTTTAATATATGAAAGTATTTAAACATATCTTACTGTAAGTTTTTCTGTATAAAACCAGTCAAAATTTCAGATTTTCTTACCTTACTTTGTCAGGTAGATTCATAACAGGATTAATATCTTTGTTATAAATTGGATTTGACCTGAAAGAAAAAAAATAATTTCTGTTAAGTTCTGCTCTATGGACAATATTTGTTACCCAGCATAGGGATTGAACTTACATTCACTTGGTTATTAAAAACAAAAACAAAAAAAAACTAATGCATTGTTGGATTACCCTATCTCCCCTGCTGGTTCAGATGGATTCTACCAAAGTAGCCCAATTTAAGCTAATTGTTTTTCTCTAGTGAAAAAACACTTTCAGTTGCCTGCTGAATTTTTATTCAAGTAATTCAGGAGTGAACAGATTTTCTGTTGTCTGGATAATATCCCTAAAAGAATTTAACACTGACCATTTTAAATTCACAACTTTTAAGGATAAAAAAATATTTTAAAATCAATCAAGATTGGATGTAGTCTTCTTATCTTATACACATGTGTTATACTTTAGCCATCATGTCTTCAACTGGGGTTTCAGGCAAACTCACACAAGACAAATTCTTGTGGCAAAACATGAGATATTACTTATGTTTCCGGTCCCTACACACACACACACACACACACACACACACACATATATATTCTGGGAAGAAGAAAAAATTCTTTTACTTTATTTTATAAGCAAGGTTCCAGTCATCTATTTGAAATATAGTTTAAAAACTTCTTTTCTATTTATGCAAGATTGAATCTGTAGTTTCCCTTGGCTATATTAAGCATTTTTAAAAAAAATATTTTTGAAGATGTGTGGGCAGTGTAGTGCAGTGCCTCTCAAACTATCTGATATGGCAGACCGACATTTTTTATTCTCAATGTGTCATGTACCTGTAATATTTTGTGGTAATATTAATTTATACCGGAAACGATATATACAATGAATATAATAAAAGTTGACTATTTTTTATCTTCCATTTATTTTGCAAAAAATAATTAAATACCAAAACATATAAAAAGTAATAAAAAGAAAATAAGCAGTTTATTAACAAAAAAACAAAAATTATATAACTTTAATGATCTTTACAAATGATTCTTTAGCCTGGACACTGACCATGTACCAGTAGCTAATGGTTCACAGGACATCACCAGTCCATGGACCACCATTTTGAGAAGCGCTGGTGTAATGGATAACAGTTCAGAATAATAAATCAGAGGGCCAAGTTTAAATTCCAGTTGAGTTTATTATATTTATTTATGTGCAAATAATAACCCTAGGAAAGGTATGAATTTATTTCCTTGTGAATCCCTCCAGCCATGGGTTAAATAGTAGGCTCTTCAGATTTGGGTGACAATCAGTCTAGAAGGACAACTCTGGATTCAAAATCATATGTAGCCCTGGCAAAGTATATATTTTGTAGCTAATGAAAGAATTGTGGAGTTTTCAATGACTATGATTCCAAGCAAATAATTATCCTTATCAGACCAACTTTGAGAAATTCCAAAATTAATTTTCATTAAATTTTTTCATCTTTCAACCCTCTCACATTCCCTCAGCAATTGTATTTTATATATCGGATATATAATTTAAATTTTCTGCTTATTTTTCCATTTTACTTCCAATTATTAAAGACATCACTGAGGGAGTTTTTACTTTATTTCTAATCACCTCAAATCACCATTTTGCATTCTCATAAAACAAAATGTCAAGGCAGGGCCAATACTCTGTTACATTAACTGGTAATTACAAAATTATTGCGTCTAGGTTTCAATTATGGAAAGGAACCATGTTTCAGAAGATAAAAACACCCACCCCAGAGAGGAGATGGGTAGATTCTGTCAGACATAAGAATGTCTCATCAACGTTTTGGTGATGAGTCTATGACCACACAAAAATCACTGACAATAATTAATGCAGTCAAGAGTTAAATAGAGTGTAACATTAAATATTAGTGTTGTGTAGCGTTACCTACTTGCAGGAAGTAGTATGCACTCAACTGCCTCATGGGTAATAGCTGTAGCTATTTATAGTCTTTGTGATTTTATATGTAAATGAGTCACCTCATCTCCCTGTACCAAAGAGGTTTTATCCCTTGGGAGCTTTTGTCTCCTCTATCTTTTTCCTTCTCTCTAAGAGATTGGTTAGATATGGCAGATCTTGACCTTTCTTTTTTTTTATAGGAGTGTTTCTCCAATGATTGTTCTTGTTACTTGGTCTTCTTCTCTGATTGATTTTGAATCCTTCAGCTTTTTTGTTTTAGATTTAGCTGCTCGTATTCTAAGCCATCCTTGTGTGTATTCATAATTATCAAGTGATAATTGTTCATTTGGTTCGTTATATCTTAGTGACACCATTGTTGTGTAGTGTTACCTACTTGCAGGAAGTAGTATTCATAATGATAGCTAAATAAAATGTAATATTAAATATTAATGTTGTGTAGTGATACCTACTTGTGGGAAGTAGTATGCACTCAACTGCCTCATGGGTAATAGCCATAGCTATTTACAGTCTTTGTGATTTCATATGTAAATGAGTCAACTCAAATATTGATTAAAGTCTCATGCTATCCTTAAACTGGACTTTTTCTTTTGCTTAAGTTCACCCAATAAAATACCCAAGAGTTACTCAAGGTAGAGACTTATGGAATGAAGTGTGTGATATGAATGCTAGAGGAGGAAATAGGACATGAATATTTTGAGGATATGACAGAGTGAAAATGACTGACCCTTGACCTGAAGAGGTTAACATTCAGGTGTTCAGAGAAGCAGCCTCATCAGTGTCTATTCCTCAAAGTAATAGTTCTTGGAAATAAATTTTTGGCATGGAACATCTTTCTTATTAAAGGAATATGTAAAGAATGAGAGAAATTCAATTCTGTAGGTTTAGTAAGGTGGATTTTGGCTGCAAATGTATGAGCTGGTGGTGTTAAAGGGTAGAATTGATCTGAACATTTGCTATAGAAATAGTTATAGAGTAGCGATAGGCTTGCGATTTTGTGTTTGTGGGAAAGTAGCTGTAGGGTGGAAAATAAGAAATCTCCATAAGGTGGGGTAAACAATTTTGATCTCTGTCAAGGCTGGAAAGTGAGGATTGGATAGCATCAGCCCAGATATGACAGCAAAGCGCCATTTTTGGTCTGATCTGCCTCTTGATTTTCAAGGTAGGTAGGCCTTCTCTACTTCGGACACTAGTACAACACATATTTTCTGCTTATGTCCCCCAATTTCTCTTCAGGACGTAGGCGATCATGGATCTCCACTTCCTCCTGTCCTTTGTAGCTCTCAATAAACTTTGTCCCCCTGATACTTCTCCCAGGCCATGTTTTGTCATTCACCCACTCAAGCCTGCTAGGTATGTCATGCATTGCCTTCCCTTCTCTCTCTTTCCCCCTATTCGACCTGTGAGTATCAGATTCTCCAAGCCATCCTTTCTAATTACATGCCCAAGAAACTTCAGCTGCCTCCTCCTGATGTTAAGTATAAGCTTCCTCTTCCTTTGCATCCTCTCCAAAATCTTATCATTGCTTACATGCTCGGCCTATAATATCCTTACCATCCCTCTGTGGAAGTATACCTCCATTGCCTTGAGTCTCTTCTTCATCTTTGAGGAGACTGTGTAAAACTTGCTGCCATAAGGGAGGACAGATGTCATGTAGCAGTTCAGTACTCTTTTCTTTATTACCATAAAAATAAATACATAGATTAAAAAAAGATAATTGTGGCAATCAGCAAAAAAAAAGAAAGAACGTTTTTATATTCTCTTGTAAAATACTCACTCTCCCAAAGCATGAACATTGGAACCAGGAACAATCCATTTTTGAAAATCTTCTTTATTATCTGAAAAGAACAGATTAAAAGATAATTTGGAAAATTTCGTCAACAAAAATGAAAATACAAAAGCGACTAGAAATATTTCTTCTTTTCATTCAATGAAACTGTACAGAAAAACAGACAAACATTTAAACTTGCAATGAAGTTTTATTCAATGACATTTGACTACTGCTGATTAGTGAGGTTCGAACATTTCTTTTATAGTCAAGGTGATGTGCAGGTGGTGTAATGGATATCAGCTTCAAATGAAAAATCTGAGATCTGAGTTCAAATTCCAGTCGAGTTCCTGACATTCACTCTTACAAAAACACCCTTGGAAAAAGTATTATCACTTCTTTCTTTCCCCCAGCTATGGGTTGGATAGCAAGACAGACTGGTTGGCAACCAGTTTATCACTAAAAGAAATAAGAAAATGTTCTGTCTAGTCAGTCATAAATCAAAAGAGACATGATCGACCAAGTGTGCATCACATGTTGCCTTTAACTGACTTAGTTAAAGGGGAGACAATCATGGTTGCATTCAACCACAGAAACATTCTGACTTGTCATAAATACAGATTCACTTTGCATGTCTTGGAAAAACATTAATCTAATTTTTTCTTTCCTGCTATAAATAAACAAGAGGAAAGTTAGGGCTCTTTAGTCTTCGGAATCCATAAAAAATTATAATTGCTATAAACACTGATTGGTGACTCCAGGGACTGAGAAACAAAGAGAAAAATTCATTGCTTTATTGTTGTTAAAAATACATAAAAAAAACTTATTTAATCTGAAGAAGACCTTTCAAAGGATGAAACGTTTAATGGGAATTTTCTTCCATTTGATTAGCCATCATGACTTTAATAAATGGAAGCAATAATATAAAATAGGTGAATAGTTAGATTGACTTTCGTTTGTGGGCAATACCAAACGAAATGAGAGGAGGAATAGTGAGAGCGATGGCGACTATGTGATAGAAAGGAAAATAAAGTAAAGAAATAAGAGGAAAAAGAAAGAATGAAGAAATAAAAAGAGAGAATAAAGAAAAACAAGAACAAAAGAAAAACAGAGGATGAATAGAGAAAAATAAGTGAGAAAAATTTAAAGAAAACAGAAAAAATAAAGAGAAAAGAAGAAAAATAATAAGAAAAGAGCAAAATTGAAAAAAGTAAAAGAAAAGTTAAAGAAAGAAAAGAAGAAAAAAGAGGAGAAAGAACGAAAAGTAAAAGGAAAAAATAAAAAGAAATAAAAAGAAAGAAAAGGAAAAAGAAAAGTAAAAGAAACTGAAATAAAAAAGAAAAAGAAAGAAAAGTAAAAAAGAAAAAGAAAGAAAAGTAAAAAAAGGAAAAAACAAAAAAGTAAAAGAAATAAGAAAAACGGGGAAACAAGAAAGAAAAGTAAAAGAAACAAAAATAAAAAATAAAAAGAAAAAAATAAAATGTAAAAGAAAGAAAAGTAAAAAGAGGAGAAAAACAAAAAAGTAAAAGAAAGAAAAGAAGTAAAAAGGATAAAAGAAAAGTAAAAGAAAGAAAAATAAAAAAGTAAAAAAACAAAAGTGAAACAAACAAAAATAAAAAAAAACATGAAGAATCACGAAAAAAAGAAAAGAAGTAAGAAAAGTAAAAAAAGAAAAGTAAAAAAAAGAAAAGAAGTAAAAGTAAAGAGGAAAAAAAGAAAGAAACTAATAAAAATCCGCAAATGACTTACTATGAATATCAATATTAGCCGCTTTCAATTTCCTTTTGAACCTGGAAATGAAAAAGTTAACAAATTAAATAAGTTTTTAATCAATGTTTCTTTTTTTTTTTATCTAATTTAATTTAGACTTAGTATTTCATGTAAATGGATGCATTGTGGTGTATGGCTTGCAACTCAGTGAGAAATCAGAAAGCAAGTTAGAATTCCAGTTGAGTTCGTTGCATTCACTTATATGCAAGTACCCCTCGGAAATCCATCTCTTCTTCCTCCAGCTATGGGTAAATAACAAGGCAGACGTATTTTCCCAATGAAACATAACCCAGTGCACATGTTAGTACTTCGTATGTCCATTCCACAAAGTCTTTCCTTGCAGATTTACCACAGATTCTCGATTGGATTTAAATCAGAAGAGTTTCCGAGCCAGTAGTTAGAATTTTGATTTGATCACTGTTAAGGCTTGCAGTGTTACATTTTTCGTACGTTTCCTTGGAATAACGCTCATTGCAGACAATGGCCGTAGGACAACTAATCGACAGTCATGACAACAGTGTCTGGACGTGATGAAAATCTGGTCAATCACGGATGACACAATATTTTTCAAGACCAAACAAATTTCATCATACACCCTGAAAACAGATTCATATTACTGCACACCATTAAAAATGACCTACTCTGAGGAAAAAATAGAAATTGATTACACCCTGTCACTCCAGTGGGTCTAAAACTGACTGTATGGTGAAAGAAAGGAAACTAAAGCGCTTGTTTCAATTAATCTGCGCAAGGGTGTAGAATAGGCTGTGCCAGAGCTAGTTTTTCTAACACCTCAAATTGCCACGAAGCCAAAACATCTACCTGAAAACTCAAGTCATTAAATAGACTGATCTGACCAAGACTTTTGTATGGATGTTTTGCACGGCACCAAACTCGTTCTTGTGGTCATATATGAAGCCCAAAATATTAGATTAGGTTTTTCCTCAGACGTCCTGTTCAATAGTAGACTCTTTTCTTAAGCGTCCTTAGTTTTACCATTCTCTTAAAATCACGGCTCGTGTAAACCACATAGGATGCACAGACATGGAAATCACATGTCCTGTGCATCACATATGATGCGCAGAACAGGCAAATGGTTAAAAATATTTTGTCAGTTTGTAGATTATTTTATCTGTAGGAGAAAAACTACATTTTTGCACATATTATAACTGAGTAAAAAATTTGATTGACTGAATAATCAACTGACCTTTGTATACTTCCATAGAACAAGAAAATGACTACCAAAAGTGTGATGCCGAGGAGAGCTATAACCGCTGATAATATCACTTGGTTCTTGGCAGCATTACTTGAGGTTGCAGATTTTTGTTTCATGCTCTGGGAAAACAAATAACGTTCTTTTTTATACAAAATTTAAATACACAGCATCTCCCATTAAAAAAAAAACAAAACAAAAAAATTATTCATTATTGGTACGGAAAATAAAAGGCATGAATCCATCTATTCCTAGGTATGGGGAAAATAACAAAGGTATCTAGATTTTCTAGCTTTGGTAGGGTAACTAGTCTGAAAAAACTACTTCAGATTCAAAACTATGCAGAATGCAAGAGGAACCTACTGCAATAACTTTTCCAAATTTACAAATGTTAAAAAATGGAAGCTGTGGAGAGACATGAATATCTGCTAGATTTGATTTTGCTTATTTGCTTTTAATTCCAGTATCGAGTAATTCAGTTATAGGTTGAAATAGCAAAGTTGACTGGGCTGAAAGCCAGTCTAGGAGAAGAACTATTCTGAATTCCAAAGCATGGAGGAGGTGATAAGAAACCACTCCACTATCTTTCCTAATAAATTATGGCAATTCACAGATAATAAAGAAAAGAAATTAGAGCAGATCCTCAATTGCTTACACCCTGACAAACATAACATTAGGGAAAAACTCCTGGCAAAATTTACAGACATCGATATGAATGTTTTATAGAAGACATCTCTTGAGTTTATATCATTCATAAATTACTCGAGTGATATTTTCCATTGCTATATTAGCTTTACAAATCAGCAATTCGTAGACAATAAAGAAAAAGGAATCTATAGAGAGCGATGATCGCCTATGCCCTGGATTGACTTTTTTTTTAAAGTTCAATACAGTGGACAAGTGCAAATAATATAATGGTTATCTGCGTGGAAAGTTACTCTGGCATGCAGAGTTCAAATCCAGCTCGATTCTGAGGTCCACCAACTGTTAGCACTGTTTCAAGACTTGATGTGAGTTTCCTTTTTTTTTTTTTAAATAACATAATTAAGATTTCGATTTTCGTGTAGAAAATCGAAATCTTAATTATGTTATTCTTTTCTCTTTGAGTTACATGTGCCATCCATTTCAGCTGTGGCTGTAATTGAAACTCTTTAAGTGATGTGGTTTCTGTTATTTGGTACAGTTCTTTGTCACACTGTTTAAAGAAAGATAATCTTAGCCAAAAGCCCTAAGGATTTTCACCATTGAACGTAGGAAGAGTTTGTTTGGTTTGGTTTGTTTTACGGCATATCAACACCTCAATGGGTTATTTAATGCCGACAAGATTTTTATTGCCAGTAACATTTTTTTTTCAAAAATGTATTGCTTGTATTAAAACCTATTTTTAAACTTTCATAATGTTTTGACCCCATTTGGGAGGTTAACTATTTGCCCATAGCTGGTGCTACCACCGTGGGTGAGGGTGGACCTGAGAACACCAGTGGTTCCACGCTCCCCAAAACCTCCTGATCAGTCGGATGTAGTTTATTGTCGTACCCAGGACGCGGATGTAGATTATTGCCTTACCCAGGACGGGAAGAGATGGTATACAGCTGACAATTTAGGTATTTTTGAACGGGTTTGATACCGTGCGTAGCATCCAGACAAAAGTCTTGATCTGATCAGTCTATTTAATGTTTTCAGGTAGATGTTTTGGCTTCGTGACAATTTGAGATGTTAGAAAAACTAGCTCTGGCACAGCCTATTCTATACCCATACACAAATTAATTGAAACAACCGCTTTAGTTTCTATTTTTTCCTCAGAGTAGGTCATTTGCAATAGTGTGCAGTAATATGAATCTGTTTTCGGGGTGTATGATGAAATTTGTTTGACCTTGAAAAATATTGTGTCATCCGTGATTGCATCAGATTGTCATCACGACCAGACACTGTTGTCTCGACTGTCAATTAGTTGTCCAACGGCCATTGTCTGCGATGGACGATACTCCAAGGAAGCGTACAAAAATTGTCACCCTAAATGAACATAATGGCACGCCTTACCAGTGAGCAAATCAAAGTACTATCGACAGACTCGGAAACTCTTGATTTAAATCCAATTGAGAATCTGTGGTCAGTCTGCAAGGAAAGGCTTTGTGGAATGGACGTAAGAAGGGAACATGCGCACTGGGTCATGTTTCATTGGGAAAATACGTAAAAAGTAAGTAATAACGGAATTATTTGTTTTATTTCAATTAATGGTGTTTGTTCAATGACTTTTTAGTCCATAATTCATTTGTTATATCTAATCCATATGCTGAAGTCTTTAGTATTTACTAATTTCACATTCTGTGCTTTTATGATGGATTCAGGGTGGGTGCCATGACTGCTTTCATTCCAATCCTAGATTATAGTTTCTGTTTTGGAAAGGTTTATCTTGAGTCCTCTTTCTTGGAACATTTGGTAGAGGATGTCGATTTTCTGTTCAAGATCATTCTTATCCCAAATATGAACACCTATGTCATCAGCATAGTCCCCCTCCTCATCATTAGTACATTGGCCTCGGGAGGGAAAGCAGGATTGTTGTCTTCTATTGGTAGACTTATTTGGGATGCAGTATGGTATGTTTAAATTGTCAGTGCCCATCTCATCACATCTGTGTAAATGCGCAGGGCATAGTCTAGGAAGAGCAAGTGTAGATAGGTTTTCATTATCGTCAGGTTCACATTCCTCTCCGGTCTTTGAACAGGAATAGAGGTTTATCCCTTGTTTCCTGTTTAGGATTGGGTTTCCGGTTCTTTTTATAGATATTTATTCTCTCTCATACCCAGCAACCTCTTGCATCTCAGTGGCATTATCACCTATTTGTTTTTGAGTTGATTAAAAAAATAGAATTTCACCAAGATCATTTAAATTGATTCAAAACATTGGCAGAGATTGGTAAAATCGAAATATTCCAAACCATCTTGGCATTTTCTCAAAGATACAATTAATCATGCAATGGAAATCAAAATCAAAATTCACACCATTCGAAATATTGCTATACAACTATGTTTAATAATGTTGTAAAATGAGTCTTTACAATAATACATAATACAAAACTATGACTACATATACGATGGTTTCAAACGAACAAAGACTGATGATCTTAGTGAGAACCATCATACTTCGAACTTCATGGACTGGTGCTACACAATCACAACAAGGAATTGCAGCAAATCTCAGAAACCACATCACTTGAGGACTTTCAAAAATAGCAACAACTAAAATAGATAACACATGTAACATGAAGAGAAAATAATTACATAAGATGTTGATGTTCCACAGTACTTCAAACAAAAGGTTAGGAAAGAAAGCCACGTCAATACTGGAAAGAGCGACAACAGCTAGTGGACTTGAGAAACCTATTTTCCTGAAAAACTATTTTTTTTTAAATTATAGATTTCAATCGACGGTAGCATTAGGTGCCTTGTCATTAAATGCTGAATTTTTTACAGCTAATATTACCATTAGAAATTAGGAGAAAAGATACAAATTTTGATCCCAACTCGGAAAGCGAAAAACAGCCTAACTCGAGTAGCACCTACTGCTTGGTTAATGGATGTCAAACGTTTCCTTATAAGGAAACGCTTACCATATGTCGAAACTATAAAAATAAGAGCCTTTTCTGTTAGTAACACATGCTGGCCATTGAAAACCTTGACCTTTCTTGAGTCTCAACACATTTCTACTGTTAAATAATTTACAACACATTTCTAAGGGGAACACTGATAATAATAAATTTATATTCTACATATAATAGCTATAAGATAGTTGAAATTTCTAAAGCAGATAAAGAAAAAAGAGGGCTTGAAAAATTTGATACACTCAGGGTAGATTGAAGGCAAGATGGACAGAGGAAAACAACGCATAACCTCGCTAGAAAGCTAATTGGATGACAGAACTCGGTTTAGTAGAGATAAGAAAAAACAAACTTTATTAAGAGTTACAAGAGACAGAGCATTGTGGATAGTTATCGACAACATTCTGAAGGGACATGACACATAGAAGAAGAAGAAGAAGAAGAAGAAGAAGGACTTACCATTATACTAATAATGGGATATTTGTTTTGGATTTCACTTAGTTTTTTCGTCTTCCAGTCGATAAGCCTAAAAAAGAGAATTACACACGCTTAAAGAAAGTCACAGTTGCATTCATTTTAACAATTACATTACCCATTTGTAAATAATTCTTAGTGACTCGTTTCGTTTTAAGAAGGAACATCTTTAAGCAAAATATGTTGATGAATATGCAAAATGGGTAGCAAAGCAGAAATGCAACAAACGTCGGTTACAATTTGCTTCAGAACATTAGAGAGACAATCAACATTACAATTTAAGTCTTGAGGTTCGGTGTATTTAAATTTGAACCTTCGTGTATAGCAGTGGTTCCCCAAATTTTTTTTCTCTGGAGCGCATTTTCGGAATAAAAATTTGATCTCGCCTCACAACATTTTATGTGATAAAAAATACATTTAAAAATTAAAACAAAACAGAGAGAGGGTTAAAGGGAGATAACCGCGGATTCAAAGTCAGAACATTATCATTGATAACTCTCTCCTCCAATTTGCAGACCCTAGTTATTATATTCTTAATACTTGATATAATGCAAAAAATATCACAATGATAAAATCGGTCAATAATTATTTATAACTATTTATACTGGGACTCATGCATGCAATTACAAGTAATCCATAATGATATTTTAAATTTTGAAATCATATTTATTTTTAGCATATGAGTTTTTTGAGACTGTTTCTAAATCTTTGAATGGTTTTCAATCATTCCGCCTCACCCGCTATTCTCTTCCGCTGCACATATGAGGCACACCACACCATTTGGGAACCACTAATCTATACCATCAAACATTTTATTAATTTTATTTTTCATTGTCATTGTCTTTAAATCTTCTACATTGTATTTGTATTGATTTTGTGAGGAAAGGCGATATATTGTATGATTCTCTAAT